CATTGGAGGTGTTTGGGTTGAATCTGGTTGAGTATAGCAGCTTGGTCCTAGTGAAGATGGTCCAGGACTAGGTCCGAGGTCTTGACAAGCAAGGCTTGAGCAGCAAAGACAGCTCGAAGACAGGAGGGGCCTCCTCTGGCCACCGCATCCAATCTGCAGGAGTAGTAGCCTATTGGGCGTAGGCGGTTGCCGTGGGGCTGGGTGAGCACACCTGTAGCATGTCCCTGACGTCCACACACAAAAAGCGTGAAGATCTGCTCATAGTCTTGGAGTCCTAGAGCAGGAGTTGATGAAATAACTTGCTTGAGAATCTCGAAGTTGGAGATTGCTTCCGGGGACATTTGGAAGGGATCAGACGACTTCAGAGCATCGTAGAGGGGCTGCATCATGAGGGAGGCTCCTGGTATCCAAGAGCGACAGTAGGAGATTAATCCTAGGGAGGCATGGAGGGATTTTGGACCCTGTGGCACGGGGATCCCCTTGATTGCAGCTACTCTCTCCTGAGTGAGATGTCGGGTGCCCTGAGAGATGCAATGACCCAGGAGAACTACCTTCTCTTTGCACCACTGTACCTTCTGTTTCGAGGCTTTGCATCCTTGGTCAGCTAGGTAATGAAGGAGACTTTCTGAGAGGGTTGAGGCGTCTTCAAGGGTGTCTGCGCAGAGTAGGAGGTCATCCACATACTGGAGGAGGGTCACTGTCGGGTGTTCCTTCTGCCGTGCATCGAATATGGTAAACAAATGTAAAGCAAATATGTTGCGCTTGGTCTATGTGAACCAACTACACACTAAAGTTTTAATAAACAAATCTGTGTAAAATTAAAATTACACAAATTTCCTTTTTGAGAAAGTCATTGAACGAAACATGTCAAAGGAAAACCTGACTTCATCTCTCTTAGCTGAGTGCTGCTAACGCTCAAAAGCTCGATTTTTTCGTTGTTTCCGTAAGTGCATTTGAGTTCTTTTATGAAATAAATATTTGTGTTACTGCACTTAGATAGCCTCCTCTTTGTCTCCTTCAAATTTTTCCCTGGTGGGCACCATTAGGTGAACACCGCCATTCCGGGCGGCGAGGGATCAGGTGACCAAAGGAGAAGGATAGACCCACGCCGGTACTTGACAAGGAGACATTAGAAGGGGTTGGAAAACCAGAACTTTAAAAGACCTCTTTAACAAGGAGCCCCTCTTGGGGAATTGTCATTGAATGTTTGGAGGACTGCCGGACAGATTGATCAAGTGTCACTGAGAGAAGGAAGTTGCCCTTTCTTAAAGTGCTGTTCGTTGGTTATGCATGTAATGATATGGAGGAGGGTCACTGTCCGGTGATTTCTGTGATATACATCGAATATGGTAGCCATGGCTTTTGCAAACTGACTGGGGGAGTTCTGTGCTCCTTGTGGTATGACCGTCCAGGTGTATTGTTCTCCATCATGGGTAAATGTGAAGAGGAGGTATTTACAGGAGGGATGAAGGGAAACGCTGAAGAATTTATCCAGCTCTCCTTTTGGGGTCCGCTTCTTCACCGGGAACAATGTGTTGCATGGGGATGTGCAGGGTATCAAAGCTCAGTTGGACACAAGGTTCTTGACTTGGTTTGAAATGGCTGTAGATTGAGCTAGCTTCAAGGGGTATTGTGGTTTTCTTGTGCAAGGGGCTCCAGGCTTCAATCGCACCGTGACTGGTGGCACTTTCAGGTGTCCAATATCTTCAGGACCTGTGGACCACAGGCGAAGAGGAATGCGGTTCAAGATCTCCTCCGGAATTGCAGTCTCGTCTTATAATTCTAAGGATAATAGAAGGGGAATGGAGCAAATGGCTGAGGCGTCATCAACAGTCAGTGGTGATGACACTTGAATGCTTCCATAGGGCTGGAAAGAAATAGAAGCTTGGAGTCTAGATAAGACATCAGTTCCCAACAAGTTCAAGGGGCATGTGGAGGAGATTACAAACCTTGCTAGTAGATCAGGATTGCCAACTTGTAAAGGGCGGGTCAGGGGACTTTTCCTCTGTGTTCCATCCACGCCCACATATGTTACATCAATGTCCGAAAGGAAAGGAGGTATCAGGCAACTCCTCTGCGCTGATCACGCTTCTGGCAGCACCTGTGTCGCGTAGGAAGGTGGTGGCCTTCAATGGGTAAGGTCACCTTTGCTAGTGTATGCACTGCCATGAAGGGGGAGGGTGCCACATGCTTGCCCAAATCCTAGTGTAGAAGGTCCAGGTGTTCTGGGTAAGGGCCCGGGGGGGGGGCCTTGCTGCTCTTGCTGGCCGTGTGGGCCTTGGTTCCATTGTGGGTGGCGACGTCTAAGCGCCCTGCATTCCCTCTTGAAATGCCCAGGTTGCCCACAATTAAAACAGGTTCGTCTGGAAGGTGTGGCGGCACCATAGGGGGCAGTAGGCCAAGTGTCTTCCACCATAAGGGGGGTGGCCTTCCTAGTGGTTTGATAGGACTCCAGGCCTTTGGCCAGTAGTAGAAGGGTATCCAGGGGCAACACACGGTATTCAGGTCTGGCCATGATGAGGCCTTTTCTGATTGGCTCCTTTAGGCCTGCAACAAAGGCTGATGATAGCATTTGGCTATGTACTTTATTATGACCACTGAATCCTAGGTCTGAGAAAACCTGTGACAACCTAGTGTAAAACTTTTCCACTGACTCTGTCTTATCTTGCGTAACATTCTGGGTACTCGTGGCACGGTCGGCCAGTCATTCCCTTGCCCAAACGCACAATTGTTCGCAGATTTCCACACCAGAAATAAAAGAATTGTCATCAACAATCCTTGCAGTTTGTAAACTCCTTTCAATTATTGGCCAGTAAGCATCTCCCCCCTGTGCAGGCCCCACTTGTGGGAGAACTAGCACACCACCTGCATGTGCAGCGGTTGTATCGGGCGGCACTATAGGCATAATAGGGGTTTGAGGTTCTGTGGGTGGCACATAATAAGTACCAGCAGATCTTAACACCGGATAAAGGAAAGTTACAGGCGGCTGTGTAGGCCTTCTGGGGTGTTGGCTGGGTATACCAAGATGGCCGCCATTGGTGGGCGCGTCTATTGGCCAGGTTAGAGGTGGGACTGGGGTGTTAACGGGGGGGCGTTAACACAGGCAGTAAGGGGACGTTGGCCGGTGGGCGGGCTGCAGTAACATGGGTGGTGGTGTTGCAGCTCGTGCAGGCGTTTTGCCCTTGGGGACATACCCAGGAAGAGACGCCTCCATCATAAGGTGGGGGCTGGCTTTTTTCAGTTAGCGTGAACAATGATTCAAGGCTTACTTAACTTCTGACTTCTGTCCCATTGTGTGTGAGACGGTTTTATGAAGCTGTCTTGGACTCGGGGGTCCGGCAATCCTCTAACCGTCACACTGTCTGTACGAGCAGGCGAGAATTCTACCACTGAACACGGCACAACAGATGACAGTTCACCATTTCAGCTAAACTTTCAGACCTTGGAATGTCTCTTATCTCAAGAGCTCTGCAGCTGCAAACTTGTGGGCAGCCCCCCCCTCCCCTGCTGCTGTCCAAGACTACGTTTAACCTCGTGTATGCCCAGCAGACACACACACTCAGGACATGACATTACTGACTCATATGGCAAGGTGGTGAGATGATTCAGGGTCCCTGTCACATGTTTCCCGTGCTTAGCATCTGGGTCGCCAACTGTTTTGGACCTACTCTCCAATATATAACGCTGTCCGGAGAGAAAGGGAGAGAAAAAAGAGAGAAAGGAAGTAAGAAAGGAAAGGAAGAAAGTGGAAAGTGGGAGAAGAAGTGTCTACGCTGCCTTGCACGCGTCTTCAGTCACAGTCTTCCCTTTCAAGTCAGCCAGTACAACAGACGTTAAAATCTGCAGATTTCACTTGTGGTTAGAATTCCACTGGAAGTTCCTCCTTTTTCCGTATCACTCCTGCGCCCTCACTTCTCTAACTGTCTAACTCACATTAATCTTACGAGCATACAGACATACATTTAACACATTTAACTCAGAAGAGGGGCCCCCACAGACCTCGTCGAGAGAGACCCAGGTATGCTGTACACAGTCCCCGTGAGCGCAACCGGCTGGAGTTGAAAAATGAAAATGAAAATCACACCAACTCCAATGTGTGTAAAATCACTTCTTTATTATTGTTTCGCACTCTCGTGTTTTATATAGACAGCTGATAGTGTATATGTAAACATAGCGTTTGCGATAGCTTTCTAGGTTATAATTGGACTGATTCATTAAAGCGTAACCTCCTTCCAGGGTGCTGACGTCTCGTCTTGTGTGTCGTTTCTCCTGGAGGCGCCATCTTGGTTTCTATTTCTACTGCGTACTTCTCATGGGGGGGGGGGGGGGGGCTAAGTTGAGCAACTAACTAGGCAGCCATTTTGATTAAGAAATAATATGAACAGGAGCAATAACATATATATATTATAATGTATATTGAAATAGGCATTTTTATCATAGTCACTTAACCACATCCATTACAGGTCCATGTCCGCCATTTAGTGACTGCTGTCTTATTCTCTTATGCAGCATACATTTTAAAAATTGTTAACATTTATATAATGTTTTTTATGTACTAAGTGTGTTATGATGTTTTATTGATATTTGTCACAGTTCACATAATGTTCACTGCATTTACACTTGTGTATTGTTTGCACTACTAGTTTAGGTGCTGTGTAAGAGATACTAAATTGTATATAGTGAAAGCAGTCGAGGGTGTTGCAGCAAATCTCTTCAATAAGGAGCCAAAGGAATTAGCCAAACATTTGGCTAATTATTTTAGCTTGCTTTGGCTGCAGAAGTCCTTCAATTCAGGGACCCACAGAAAAAGCATCTTGTCCCCATGTCAATGAGTACCAGGGACTCTTCCCCATAACCCTGGCCTGGTGTTTGTGTGGGTCTGCGGGTAGGGGGGCTTATAGAAATCTGGGTGCCCCCTTTCGTAAAAGGGCACCCAGATATCGCCCCTTGTGAATGAGTGGGTAGTTGCTACCCCTACTCATTCACCAAATATTAAGAAAAAGTAAATAAACACACAACACCTTGAAAAAGTCCTTTATTTGAACAAAAAACAAAACCCGGTTTCTGAAAAAAAAACTATCATAAGGCATAATAATCACCCCTATCATAAGGCATTGCATACAGTACACAGTCCGGTGACCCAAAAGTTAAGTTAAGGGCTAATGTCACAGTGGTGTGCAGTGCACTCAGTCTCCTGCTTTATTGTGACATGGAGTACAGCTGTGTTTTTGGGGGGGTATTTTTTTCTTTTTTGATATTTTTTCTCTTTTTATCTTCTTATGTATTTTTTTATTTATTTACTATTCCTTATTTACCTTTTTGGTAACTTCATATTGTTTACTTCGCCTTATTTACCTATTTGTCAGTGGAGGCGGCTGCAAATGTATACTTTTTAAGAATAAATATACAGAATGGAAGGTGGGTGTAACGAGCCCCTGCTTGCTCGGTTCCACACTCCCGGCACTCCTCTGCTCCTGTTGGATCAGATGTCAGACCGCATGTCTGATTCTTTGATCGTCCGATAATCCGGGATTGGAACTACAGCTATGTGCCGTTCGAATCCAGCACAGAACAAACACCAGGCAGGCTGTATTTAAGTTCCAACAAGGATCTCCTTTATTGAAGACCAGCTCAGTATATATACAGTTCAAGAAGTCTAAACACATAACGCAATCAAACATGAACAGCATGCAAACAGACATCCCATCCCCGATGCCTTAATGAATGCATAGGGAGGGAGGAGACACATGTGATGGGATTATCTCCTGAGTGTATCATAGGGTGATCTACTCATCTACACCCGGAGTCAGCTACTCCTAGAATCAGCTATCCTAATCCCATCATCAACACAATACAACAAAGGGACCAATATACTGTAACAGTTCAATGTCCAGAATTATCCCCTTCAGTGCAGCTGGAGTCACAGCCTGTACCTATAATACACACAGGGTCATTCAAATGTAATGCCAGGGAACATGTACAGTACATCCCTCCACACATAAACCTGGTAGAATGGTTCATTGTAACCCCAAGAGGTTCGAGGGGGGTCTCCATAGTTCTGGGTCCATAGTCAGTAGGAAGGAGGCTAGCCCCCAGGCTCCTCCAACAGCACCAGTGACGGTTCAGTCCGTCACAGTAGGGACAACTGATTACTTCTTTTCAGATTCAGAGCAGATTATTTTCTTCTTCAAGTGTTTTTTTTTATATTCATGTTGAAGTTGTATCACCAATTAAAACAAATTAAATACACATTTGGTTTAAATGAACCTGTTACATTTTTTAATGAATATGAAGAATTTGTTTATCACTACAAAATAATAAATTGGATCTTTACGGATAATGCCACTTTGATTTATAACGATGTTGGAAATTTTACGTCCTGGGTACCAGAAGATCAACAACTTCAAATTAATGCTAAAGCTATAACATGGAGGCTTGGGAAAGAGGTAGGTCCATGAAATAAACTTTGATAGTAAAGATTAAGCTAGTGGACCTCATTTTCTAAAAGGAAAAGGAGCCAAGTTGAGATAAGTTGCTATTCCATATGTATTCCATATGTATTTTTCAGTATTCAGCGCTGCAGTACTTTGACTGACGTTTATTCCGTCATGCAACGCTGTACTGAAATTAATTTTATACCATTTTTTGGGGACAGATGATCACAGTTGATTGGCTATAGTCATTATTTCCTTTGTGTCTTATTTCCACTGAGGTCCTTCAATTTTTTAGTTGAAGTTTGATCCAGGTGGTGTCAACAGGGCCACTCAGCTCGAATTTGGGATGATTCATAAATATCAGACAAAATTTGGATAGTGTATGTCCAGCTTAAGTACTATACTGACATATACATGAAATGTCAAGAGTTTAGTTTTACATAATGTTCATACATAATGTTCTGATAAGGCAGCATTAAAGGAGAATTATGAGGCAAGTGTCACAGGTCGGTTTAGTAGATCGGGAAGTGAGCGAACACATACCGGCGCTCACTCACTTCTCGATCTATCCATGCAGAGAGCTGTAACTGTCACTCACGGCTCCCTGCAGGGATTCCCCCCTCCCCTGTCTGATCCTCCAGCTCTGACTGGCAGGACAGACGGGGAAGGAGTGGGTACAGCTGGCTCTGTCTCTAGATAGGCAAAGCCAGCTGTCACTCACTCAGCAGGGTGGATCCAGAATTGTCGGGATCCATTCTGGCTGCGGCGTCTCAGTATACCGCGAGCTGCAGCTCGAAGTATACTGAGCTTTGGGTTATGGGTGGACACTAGTTTGTTTCTTCCCATTATCCTTAGGAGAACTATGGGGAGAAGCCCTAACCCCATAGTTCTCCTTTAATAATGAATATCTACACAAATGTATAAGAAAAAACAATCAGTTTAAGACAAAACACTCCGATGTTATGAGGTGCAGAAAGCTGATGAGATACCTCTTCTGAGGAAACCATACAAGAAATCCATATTTATACATAGTTACATAGTATTTGAGGTTGAATAAAGACACATGTCCATCAAGTCCAACCTATTACCATATGCATTATAAACAATAATATGTTCGGCCAGCTCCAGCTTTCACCTCGGCTCAGCTGAGCCGAGGCATATGCCTTCGGCTCGACCAACATCGGGAGCTGTACGGGTTATAGTGAATAGCCCGTACAGCAGCCCTTCGGTTCTACTGAACCAAAAGGGGTCCTGGGGCCGAAGCTAGCCGAAGGATTAGCCAAAGCTACAGCTAGATCCTTCGGCAGCTTAGTGAATAGACCCCTAAGTCTTACTACTGGAGATCCCAGTTTTTCATCCATATAATTAATCTATGAGACTTAAAATACTGATTTTTTTTTTCAGACTAGTGATACTGTAGATCTTCTTTTTCTGCTACAATATACAGATAGGTGCTGATTTACTGAAAGCAAAATGGCTGTTCACTTTTTCCTTAGCGCTAGTGAGCATGGTGAAAATTCAATTTGAAAAGAATACCCAATTATGTGCAAGGAACATTTAAAAAAAACAGCATTGTTGCTATTCACATGCTTGGAGATTAAAGTCAGCAGATCTTTACCTCATTCACTAAGTTAAGGAAGAATTTATTTGCAAAGCAATATTTCTCTTGCAAAGTAAACAGGCTGTTTGTGCTTATTAAATCAATCCCACAATAACATTCTGTTACCATGTTGTTAAGAAAGAAACAGCCAAAAACATTGTGGAATCGCATGAATAAAGGGTAAAGACAACTCCATACTTGGAGTGCTATTGCTAACCTTCAGAAAATAATAATAATTGTAATCTCTGATTTTCAGGTTCCAGTATCTCGGTGCTCAGATCCCTGTTTACCTGGCACCAGAAAGAAGTTTGGATCCTCAGTTCATGAATGCTGCTATGAGTGTATCCCATGTCCAGAAGGAGAGATATCCAACATTCCTGGTAGATTTTGTGCTTGTTAGTAAGTTATTGTTGGAATGGACAGAGATTACTGCTGCTGTTAAAGTGTATGTCAGGAAAAACATATGCATTACACCTCTGCAGTGTAAGCATGTTTCCCTGTGTTTTATTCCTTTACACACCCTGAAGGTACAACAAGATATCTACTGATCCTGGCATGAATGCAATCAATTCCTAATTTTCCATGAAATCAAGAAATGGTTTCAGCCCCACCAAGTTGATTTTTGCTACTTCTACTTCTACCAAACTACTGAATACCTTCCATCTCTACTGCATAAAGCATAATTGTTCTGTAATATTAGATAAGAACTAGGAGGGATGATTAGGTTCTTTAAGATAACATAGATAGAGTGAACAATAACAGTGCTAGATGTTTGACAGGATTAAAATATATTTTTTGTAATTATTGTGCACATATATCTGTAAAACTCACCCCAGTACAAGGATGTTCTAGCTTCATCTATAGCAGCCCCTGAAACCTCAAGGCAGGCAGACCTACCAGTATTTTGTTGCTTCAAAGACTTAACACACAATTATACATGGCAGGTGGCAGACAATAAGTATAATGCAGGAGCAGGTGGAAATCTGGGCAGGTGGTAGACATTGAGTGTAACCCAGGATCAGGCAGAGGTCAGGCAGGGGGCAGACAGTAAGCATATTTCAGGGACAGGCAGAGGTCAGGGCAGGCGGCAGAAAGTAATGCCATAGATTTGGATGTTAAATATAATAAAATATAAAAGACAAAAAACTTTAGGGTTCCACTGCCATAAACTCATTGTCTCAAGCATCCTTGAGCTCCAGTCAGTGACTTTGCCTAGAAATGTCATTATTTGTATTATATATATTTATTTATATTATACATATTTATATACAACAATACATACTACATACAACAATAAATCAATAAAACCAGACAATGTGTTACAATTATCCCCTCTAGCCGCTATATTTTACTAATTATCCATAAGCCAGTTCATATATACACAGAGCCATGCTCATCTATTTCATCCCTTAACGTGAGTGTTTCTATTTAGAATTGTCTGTGATAATAACAGTAATAATTACATTTGGTTTAGTTACTTTAGTGTTTCCATTTCTCTATACTGTGATAGTGTACATCTTCACACAATAATAAATAGTGAATAAGACTTATAATTAAATAAAGATATTATATACATAAATGCTTTCCAACGTGCTCACATATACAAATAAATATAAATAAGTGTCCTGAGAGTGTTCAAGAGTAACATTGCTAATCAGCACAACCCTTCCTTTTTCCACACTTCCCCCCTCCCTTCCTCTAATCACCCCTCCCTTCACTTAACATTGTGTTACGTCCAATTAAGTTAAATAAATAAAATCGGTTTTCTCAATAGTGTCTGTGTAGTAGTACCCCAATCTAATGTGCTCTACCAAAGCTCTCCCTACCTAAATTAGTTTTAGGACTTACTTTAGAGAATGTCAGTTAATCAAGGCTAGAAATGGGTTGTGACACGATAAAAAAAAAGCAAAAACTATATAAACAAACAATCTTAGGCATCCAATACCAACCCTTCCTTTTTATCGTTAATTGGAGTTAACCTTAGACATATAAAAAAAAAATTGTTTTCAAGAGAAAAATATATGATTATCAAACTATTATCAAAATAATTAAAGATGGCGTGTAGGAGCATTCAAAGCCCCCTTCTCTTTCTTTTTTCCCCCCTTTTTTCTGTTTTTTCTTCCTTTTTTTTTTCTCTGACCTTTTTAATCTTGAATCTTTTTTCCTATAATCCACATTTTTAATAACAATTTTCTTTTTCTTGTCTCATCTCACGTCTAGATAGGCTGAGGGGGAGACAAAGACTGTTTATGCACTGAAGTGTATCTGTATTATATGTTCTACACTGTCTATACTGATTGTTAACCTGTATAAGACAGAGTCTGCCCCTTTTTTTTTTTATTTATTGGAATTTTTTTTTTCTTATCTCATTGTATTTTTTTTTTCATGTTGTCCTTTGTTAGGTTAGTTATGGATAATGCTATCTATATTGAGTCTATATGGAGCATTATGTATTGTTATGTTTGTTATGTTACGTTAGTAATTGGCATCCCAACCCAAAACTCAGCAAGGAGCGGGAGTTACCCCAGTTTGAGGATAAATGGCTATGATTAACTTAATAACATATAATGTGAGAGGATTAAACACTCAGGGTAAACAACATGAAGTGATAAGGGAATTGAAACAGTAAGACAGGCAAATAGTCTTTCTACAGGAAACATATCTGACACTTACCACTACTACGAGACTTAGTAAGAACATATTCTCACAATGATTTCATAGTCTTTCAGATACTAACAGAGCCAAAGGGGTGGCTATTGGCATTCATAAAAATATTCCATTTATATTCTCAGACATGCAGACAGATGATCAAGGCAGATATTTATTCATTAAGGGTTCTATAAATAATACACTGTGCACATTGGTGAACATATACTGCCCAAACAAAGAACAGATTCCTTATATTTGTAATGTCTTTTCTCGCCTGTCTGATTTTGCAGAAGGGATGCTAATAGTCTCCGGCGACTTGAATGTCGCACTGGAACCTACGATTGATACCTCAACGGGACAGTCCAATCTATCATATAAAAAAATACTAGTTTTGAAAAAACTCTTAAATAAAATGCAATTAGTGGACAATTGGAGAACCATGCACCCAAAGGATAGAAATTACTCTTACTACTCAACGGAACATAATAGATGTTCTCGTTTAGATTATATTTTTTTGAGTCACCACCACTTAGACAGTTTGAGTTCATCACAAATAGCCTTTCATCACAAATATAAACCTTTCCCTAGGGATAACGAGAGACAGTGACTGGAAACTCAACAAATCTCTTTTATGGAGTCCAGCGGATGTACAGAAACTGAATGAGGAACTTAGCAAATTTTTTGTGATCAATGATTCCCCAGACATAACACCCGCCACCCTTTGGGAAACACATAAAGCCGTAATAAAAGGGAAATTAATTAAATTGGGGACCAGGAAGAAAAGAGAGAGTAAGAAGAACATGGAAGACCTGTTAACACAGATTAGAGAACTGGAAATGTTACACAAAAAAATCATTGGTTCTAGAGCATTTACAACAATTAGTGAATAAGAGGGAAGAGTTAAAAAAAATTTTAAACACTAAAACACTGCAGAGGTTCCATTGGCTGGCGGGAACACAATATGAATGGGGAAACAAACCGGGAAAGGTATTATCAAACTCACTGAGACATAAGAAAACGCAGTCTTATATCCCTAAAATAAAAACAAAGGACTCTATGGCATTCACCCCTAGAGAAATTGCTTGCGAATTTAAAGAATTCTATTCCACACTATATAATATCTCTGAAAATCTGACGCAAAAAACATTAGACCAAAGACAAGAGGAGATAAAGAGATACTTGGATAGGGACAAATTACCCTTACTACCCGCCGACTCTCTAGGTAAACTGGAAAGGGAGATTGAGGTAGGGGAGTTGGAGAGTAGTCTCTCTGAAATGATAAAAGGAAAAGCACCAGGCCCTGATGGTCTAATGCTGGCTTATTACATGACCTTTAAAGAAGTATTACTACCCCGGTTAGCTAAGTATGTGAATTAATTAACGGGAGGAGTACTCAAGACCAGAAACCACTTTGGCATATATAACAGTAATCCCCAAACCGGATAAAGATCCTACAAGTTGTGCGAGCTACAGACCCATATCTTTACTAAATGTGGATATTAAGATGTTTGCCATGGTCTTGGCAAGGAGAATCCTGCCATTGATGACACAGTTTATTTCTGCTGATCAAACTGGATTTATTCCTGGTAGAGAGGCAAGAGATAATTCATTGTGGAATCTGGCAGTGATGACTTATGTGAAACAACAATCCCAGCCTACACTATTACTCTCAACAGACGCAGAAAAAGCGTTTGATAGGGTGGCATGGGATTACTTGATGCTCACATTACAATATATGGGAATGGGGAGAAAAATGATGAGCTGGATCTCGGCACTATACAAGGAACCAAAGGCGCATGTAAGAGTTAATGGCATCCTTAGTGAGGGATTTACATTGGGAAATGGTACACGTCAGGGCTGCCCTCTCTCCTCCCTACTATTTGCGATATCATTGGAACCATTTTTGGCAAATATAAGAATAAATAACAACATACACGGAGTAGCTATAGGAAACAACAAACATAAGTATTCAGCTTACGCAGGTGATATACTTTTTTATATTCAACAACCTAGAATAACTATTCCAAATTTAATAGCTGCTTTTCGGGAATATGGGGGGTTATCTAATTTTAAGATTAATCTAGATAAGTCGGACATTTTGAATATTAGCATGCCATCTAGAGAGGTAGAATATATGCGTCCAAGTTTCCCTTTTAAGTGGCAGGCTAAGAAACTGAAATATCTGGGGATTAACTTAACCCCTCATCAGCGGGACCTGTTTAACTATAATTATATTCCCCTCGTGAATGATGTTCGGAAAGACCTGCAACAATGGACTTCATTATATCATTCATGGGTTGGTAGAATTAACATAGTTAAAATGAATGTATTACCGAAGTGTATATTTTTATATCAGATGTTAACTATTGCTTTACTCAATAGTTTTTTTTTAAACAATAAAGACAATGATATCCAGATATATCTGGGGTAGGAAGAATGCGAGAATCTCACACAGCACATTAGTTAGGACAAAATCACAGGGTGGGTTAGCACTACCTGATTTCAAACGCTACTATCAGGCAGTAGTCCTGTCCAGACTTTTAAATTGGCACTTTGATAAAGTATCTAAGTTTTGAGTAAGGATAGAGTTTGAAATCTGTAATGCTGATATGAGTGTGGTATGCTGGCTACCAAAGCAATACAGAGGTACTGCAAAGGATTGGTACCCACCGTTGCGGAGTACCCTAGCTGTATGGGATTTAATGCATAAGAAATTAGGATGGAAGTACAACTCACCCTTAATGCCTATGATAGGACATTAATATTTTCAGCCAGGGAACCTAGACCAAAATTTTGGTAAATGGATAGAGGAAGGTATATTACGATTGAGAAATATCTGGGGATTAACTTAACCCCTCATCAGCGGGACCTGTTTAACTATAATTATATTCCCCTCGTGAATGATGTTCGGAAAGACCTGCAACAATGGACTTCATTATATCATTCATGGGTTGGTAGAATTAACATAGTTAAAATGAATGTATTACCGAAGTGTATATTTTTATATCAGATGTTAACTATTGCTTTACTCAATAGTTTTTTTTTAAACAATAAAGACAATGATATCCAGATATATCTGGGGTAGGAAGAATGCGAGAATCTCACACAGCACATTAGTTAGGACAAAATCACAGGGTGGGTTAGCACTACCTGATTTCAAACGCTACTATCAGGCAGTAGTCCTGTCCAGACTTTTAAATTGGCACTTTGATAAAGTATCTAAGTTTTGAGTAAGGATAGAGTTTGAAATCTGTAATGCTGATATGAGTGTGGTATGCTGGCTACCAAAGCAATACAGAGGTACTGCAAAGGATTGGTACCCACCGGTGCGGAGTACCCTAGCTGTATGGGATTTAATGCATAAGAAATTAGGATGGAAGTACAACTCACCCTTAATGCCTATGATAGGACATTAATATTTTCAGCCAGGGAACCTAGACCAAAATTTTGGTAAATGGATAGAGGAAGGTAAATTACGATTGCATCATGTAATGGATCGTGGTGAGTTGAAACCTCTCCCGATTTGTGCAGATCACCATCCCCTTCATTGATGGATAAGTGGCGATACTGCCAACTAACCCATTTTCTGCAACTTTTACCTAAACCTATAAGATCGATATCTGAACTAAACCCAATGGAAGTAATACTGTCCAGTCCATCACGCCCAAAGAAAAGTATATCACTAATGGTCCATTTGGTAGCACAAATGTACTCCACACAGACTCCAGGGTTTATGCGACAATGGGAGGATGATTTGGGGATTCCCCTATCAGAACAAGGAAAATCCAGAGTTCTGGAACAAGTATGTAGAACCTCAGTATCCTCCAAAATAAAGGAGATGAACTACAAACTTCTGTCGAGATGGTACCTCACACTGGTAAATTACACTCAATAGACTCTAGCAATTCACCATTATGCTGGAGAGGGTGCGGTATAAGAGCGACCATGGCACATATATGGTGACAGTGCCCCGCAATTAAGAAATATTGGACAGAGGTTGGAAAGATCATCTCCTCTATACGGGGATCACCCATGTTTATAGACCCCTGGGCAATGCTATTCCATAAAAGTGAAAGCTCAGTGTTGAAATATAAAAAATCCATTACACCACACCTGCTGAACTCAGCAAAATGTCTGATCCCACTATATTGGAAGTGCATAGAATCTCCCACAATAAAAGAATGGTTCATAAAAATAAATTACATTAGCTCTATGGAGGAACTGCTTTTTAGCAGCCAAAATAAATATCCAGCCTTCTATGAAATATGGCAGGGGGGGGTTTGATACAAGGAATCATATGAATACTTATCAATAATGACCTTTCACATCTGAGTTTAAGGGGTTGATTTACTAACCTAAACACATGCACGCTTCAGGTGCGTGTGCATTTTTACACAGCAAAACGTATTTATCAACCAAACACGAGCAACGTGTCACATTTTCACGCCGTTATGGTTTTTATGTATTTACGTATGTGCGCGTCATGTAGCATGTGCCATAGGCTACACACATGTCTAATAGTGGCATGCAAGTCTCTAAAAGCATATTTCCACTAATGCCATATATGGAAAAATCATGCACATGATGCATATATAATGCTGCTTCACAGTTTAGACAAAAATGGTTAGCTCATGCATTTACATTCCTGCATTCATCAACGCAAGCAACACAACGTAGAGCTAATTTACACAACATCACCTTGCAATTCATGCAGGGCTTTGCACAACACACCTGCTGGGTGTGTACACACTACAAAGGTGTCTAATTCCACCAATAGATCATGCTGGGAGGGAACACACTACAGAGGTGTATACTTGTTCGTGGCGTGTTTATAAGGTTAGTAAATCAACCCCAATGTGTATTTATTCTGTTGCAGAAAGAATAAATAATTCCCTTAGTCTCCTCTTCCCTGTGATCAGACTGTAACATTGTAACTTTGCAGTAATTCACAAGATGAGAGACTGCAGCATGCGCTGATCTGTGTCAGATAATACAAAGAGCTGCACAAGCAAGAGATTTTACATATTTGTCTCAACTCCCTGTCCAGGCGGTAGATGGCAGCCCTGTATGATGCCTGATCTAAGAAAAAAATAGATGAAGTCATAGTCAGAGGGAGTATGGCAATTTCTTTGACAGGAGATACATATCTGGAAGAGTTACACTGACCTATTACTCAGCATGCATGTACCAAAAATGTAAAAAAAAAATCTATTGCAGCTTTAAGGCTTTTTTCTTTATTTTAACCTGGTGATCCGGCCAGTAAGTCTGTTTTGCTCAACTTTCTTTATCAGCCAAAACTGCCCAACAAAAGTGGCAGAAAGGGGGTTGAGACAGATCATTTAACACTGAAAGGGGTGCTTACAATGGTCAGCTTTAATTCATTTATGTAAAGCCTTTATCCCAAAAGGAGAAAATAACTGTTGTTGTAATTGGTCAAAAATTGTTAGCTGGAGTTCGGATTTAATCTTTCAGTCATGTTCATCTAAACCTACTATTGCGTCCAACACTACCCTCCCCACAGGGTGACAATGTTGCTGCCCAGGGGTGGTTGCATTGCTCCTCCATAAAGGATTGGCATAAGTTGCATACAGAGAAGTACAGAGTACTCCTTTCCTGCCTGCTTCTGTTTGTAGACAAAGCAGCAAGGGGATCTCGGCTGATGTTGGTCTTGAAATTCAGCAGCTGGCCAGGGACTGTCATTTGTGATGGGAGCAACAGCAGGAGAGAATCATCATAGTAGTGAGTCATTGGGGTTGATTTACTAACCTTATAAACACACCACGAACATGTATACACCTCTGTAGTGTGTTCCCTCCCAGCATGATCTATGGGTGGAATCTAAACACCTTTGTAGTGTGTACACACCCAGCAGGTGTGTTGTGCAAAGCCCTGCCCTGAATTGCAAGGTGATGTTGTGTAAATTAGCTCTACATTGTGTTGCTTGCGTTGATGAATGCAGGAATGTAAATGCATGAGCTAACCATTTTTGTCTAAACTGTGAAGCAGCATTATATATGCATCAGGTGCATGATTTTTCCATATATGGCATTAGTGGAAATATGCTCATAGAGACTTTTTGGTTGATAAATACGCTTTGCTGTGTAAAAATCATACGCACCTGGTGCGTGCGTGTGTTTAGGTTAGTAAATCACCCCCATTGTGTTGATGGGTCATCAGTCATTTCTCATCGTGATTGATAATGGATTAATATCATTGGACCACATGATTGACATGATTGACAATGGATGTACATCCGGGGACAATACTTATTTTTTATTAAAGGACTTTTTCTCTATGATTCCATTGTTTTTATTTACTTTCTTTTCAACATTTTTTTGTAAATAAGTAACAAATGGTATTATGTATCCCTTCCTCATTTACATAGGGGGCAAATATCTGGGGGTCCCTTTAATGGTCTCATCCCCACATCCCTGACCGAAATGATGCTTTCATTTGTAGTGTCAGTGGTGGCAGCAAAATAAATTACTAATGACGGCATCAGCTAGAGGTTTGGGTGGGTGGGCAAACTGGCCAAATTTGCTGAACTGTAAGGAAGCTAGGTTAGGTTAGAACCCAAGGTCTACTCAAACCAGAAGTTCATCCCAAATTATAATATATACTTTTTAACACAGGGTCAAACATCCATAGATTATAAAAAACAAAATCCTTTATTTGTTGCCAACATTTGACACACCAAATTCTTAAAGTGTATGTCAAGGCAAAAAAAAAACATATCCAGTACATATCTGCAATACATTTTTTTTTGTGTTTTACCCCTTTTAAAGACCCTGCAAGTACAAAAACATACCCAAATGATTAGCTAGAAAATGCACTCTGCTCCTGTGTCACCCCTGAACACGACATAAAGAATAATCATTCTGTAGTGCCAAGAAGAGAACTAGGAGAGGCAAATACATTTCTAAAGATAACACAAGAAATGTGCACAGCGCAGCTCAGAATTTCTAACTTGATCAACAGGTGTTGACACACTTAATGAACATACACAATAAAATGCTTCCGAAGGCATTAAAAGCCTCTGAGGGTATATTTAACAGACCAAAAGGTAGCAAATTACAGAAGTTAATTATTAGAGATTACATGCATTTTGAATGAAAACTTCCCTTTATTATTTTTTTCTGCTTATAACATATTTATATATTTTTTCTTTCTTTTTTCAACTTTTACTGCAACTTTATGTCACCAAACACTTTTTATGTTGCATTGTAGCTTAAGAACCATATACCAAATAAAACCTAAAGTTTCTATCTATCTATTAATTAGTAATACTTCTCAATATTAGCATTTAAATATTATACATTTAGGTAATGTATTGTATTTTTTTAACTCTTTCACAATGCACTGGTGGAAATCCAATTGCTAATTGTATGGCAACACAAGACATTTTGTTCTCACAATCTGTGACACAGATGCTCATTGTGTTGGTATTTTTCTTCCTGCAGACATTGCAAACTGCATGAAATGTTCTGATGAAGAATGGCCAAATGAGAAGAAGGATCGGTGTGTTCCAAAACGGATGGAATTTCTCTCCTACACTGATGATACAATTGTTGCAGTAATTTCAGCTGTTTCCATCCTCTGTTGTCTTCTGACTGGTGTAATATTGGGGATGTTTATACTTTACCAGGACACACCCATTGTTAAAGCTAATAACCGGAACCTGAGCTATCTTCTCCTGGCCTCCATCATGCTGAGCTTCCTCTGTGTCTTCTTGTTCCTCGGCCATCCAGTAGATGTAACCTGCATGCTGCGTGTAACCTCTTTTGGTGTCATCTTCTCAGTTGCTGTCTCTTCTCTACTTGCCAAAAGTATCATGGTGTGTATTGCTTTTAAAGCCACCAAACCTGGGAGTTCCTGGAGGAAATGGATGGGAATCAGATTGCCGAATTCCATCATGTCTGTGTTGTCAATGGTGCAAGTTATAATTTGTGTTACTTGGTTGTCTATTTCTCCCCCCTTCCAGGATCAAGACACTCACTCTTATCAGGGAAAGATCATCATTCAGTGTAATGAGGGTTCAGTTAACGGCTTCTACTCTGTCCTGGGATATATGGGACTTCTGGCAGCTGTGAGCTTCATTACCGCTTTTTTAGCCAGGACATTACCAGACAGTTTTAATGAGGCCAAGTACATCACCTTCAGCATGCTGGTGTTCTGCAATGTCTGGATTGCTATGATCCCGGCCTATCTGAGCACTAAAGGGAAATACATGGTGGCTGTGGAGATTTTTGCTATAATGGCCTCAAGTACTGGACTTCTTGGCTGTATATTTTTCCCAAAATGTTACATAATTCTCTTCAGACCTGACCTGAATACAAAAACAAGTTTGCTTGAAAATAGAGGATAATCTTTTTTTTTTAATTAATGATGACCTCTTTGTTAAAAATATAATACAATCTATTATAACTAATGAGCTAATACTCAGAACAGTTTGAAATGTACAGGTCTATACACAAAAGGGTGAAGAGTTTGGAGAAGGCAGGAAAAGTGAACAATCTAGTCCAAAATTACTGAGTTGGAAACATTCTCTAATTCAGCTCACTTTCCAGGTCAGCTATGTTGTCCTAGATGGTTCACTTCTCCTGCCTTCTCCAAACTCTTCACCCTTTTCTGAAAAGTCCTCTTAAAGGTCAATATTTAATTCTCACCTTTTCAGTGAACGGTACAAATAATTTTTGCTCTCTTGTAGAGCTATGGACACATTGCATTTCTTGGACACCTTGTCCCCTGCTGGATTCGCTGGTTTCTTCAAATAGTGAGGAGGAACCACAGTGACCAGAGGAGAGCTAAGTATCCAAAGTATCCACCCACAGATCTTCAAGAGAGTAAAGGTTTCACTCACCACCTTCCAGAAAGGTGAACATTGCACATGTTTTTTATAATCTGCTTGTAATGTATTTGTTAGTGACCGGGTTATTTTAAATATATTGTAAGTAGATGTATCTGGCTACAGTAAATTTTACATTTTGCTTGGTGTATTCTAAAATCATTTTAAATAGAGTTAAAGTTGATGAAAGCATGTTTTCATGTTAAGTGATAAGTATACTTAATTTTAAAGAATGTTTTCTTCTTTATGGGAACTAATAAAAAAGCTTTCTCCTTGTATAAATCTATTTTAAGACTGTGTGATGTTGGGGAGCTCAAAGAGCACTCGCACAGCGGGTTTTCCAAAATACAAGTCTTTTTATTTGCTCTTGCAGGGCAGCAGAAAAAGGTAAACACAAATATCCGCTTCTCTTCAGCACAAATAACAAAACAAAAGATGTCTCACCGAGTTATTGTATAAAGTCCCAGACCTGGGAAATCCCTTCCCTGGAATTTTAGTCCTGCAGTCCAGCACAGTAGCACAGCAATGCAGCAATACAGCAACTCTCTCACATTCACACACAGCTACCGCTGATGACTTCCTCCTCAACTCCCACACTCCTCCCTGGGAGTTGCCGACCTTTAAACCCCTTCCTGGGGAAGGAAGGTTAACCCTGTTGTGGCCCTTAAAGGGACCACAACCCGAACAGTGGCGATATATATCTCCCATCCAGGACCCAGCCTTGCCGTCCTCCATAACTGCTACTGCAAGGGAGTATACAGCTTCCCCATACAATGCTACAGAGACAACACTCATACCCCAGACTTTGCCAGTTCCCGATATGTCAACTTCCAAAGCAAAAAAAGGTCCCAGATGCTCACTGCAAAATTACAATAATTGTTATGTCCCCTCTACATGTACCCTGTGGTCCGTATATAGCCCGATGTGCAGCTAAACTCTCCAATTCTGCAATAATCCAGACTGAGTGTAATCTTGATGCTTTATTAACAAAACAGGGTGGGTTGAGACTGGTGATAAAGATCATAGAAACATACAATCATGATATAAAACATGTAATTATAGTGTCAGCAGGGCTGGATTTCCCACAAGGCCAACCAAGGCCTGGCCTCGGGGGAGCAAGGAGTAGAGGGGCAGTATGGGTGTGGAATTCCTATGTCCCAACGCCCGGCAGGCAGGTAGTTGTTTTCTACATTTAGCCCTGTTTTGGGCAAGCAGAGCTGAATGTACAGTGGGGAAGCCACCGCTTGTTTTGTACAAGTGATCTTGGTGATGACACTGAGATCACTTCTCTGAAGCCTGCAGGTCAGCCGTTATCCATTGGGGGGTTTTGATGGGTAGGGGGCGCATTGAGGAACCTGGCCTTGGGGCAGCAGAGAGAGTAAATCCGGCCCTGAGTGTCAGCTCACAAATACAGAAAGAATCAAGTCCATTCATACCAGTGATGCTACCTAAGAGAGATTTGGGCTTTTCCCTCCACACATGTGCTACAGAAGGCAGTGGATTTCTTTTCCCTCAATCCTAAAATGGAGGCTGAACTCCCAAAATGCACTAGTACCCCTCTTTGGGCAGAGAAATCCTAGGAGTTTTATTAAAGGAAAACAATCAAAGCTGCTATTAACAAAGATGTTTTCTTTTCAGCCCCATCTTGTGCCTGATTTTGATATGGCGGGGAGGTAAGCCTATTATTTAACCTGCTAAGGCAGAACAATAACCAATGACCCCAATGCATAAATGAATACATGTGTTTACACATAAAGACCCCAAAAAGTCCTTATGGATTTGGATAACATTCAATGAGAAACTCATGAGAAAGCATGATAAAGATTGCTGTTATTGTTACACAGTAGATAGTTATACAGTAGCTAAACCTGGAAAAGACACAGGTCCATCCAGTCCAATGTGTGTGTATTTGAGTCTTTTAAGAATATACATACCCCTTAATATTAGGGATGCACAGATACTTTTCGAGTACCAGTACTGATACTTGACATTTTCATGAGAACTACCAGGGTTGCAGCGGTTGCAGCTGGGACCTGGTTCTGGCACTCCACCACTGTCCTGAAATCATTAGTCTGTATTGTTTTAGAAAAACTGTCACATGACAATAAACACAAATGTATCAGTACTCGTACTTGTAAGTACTCGCCAAGTATCAGTACTCTTACTCGCAAAACTGCTATCTGTGCATCCCTTTATTTATATTTATAAAAACAAAATCGTACATTAAAACAGAGATGTATAAATCCCAGGAGCTCCGTGTGCTCCTTACAAATGACAGCTGCCTCCTAACTTTTGAATATTTCTCTAGTGTAGTCTTGGAGCTCAAAAGTATTGGTACATGTACTCGTACTTGTACCAAGTACTGTACTTTGTATCTGTGCAACCCTACTAAATATTGTGCCCATTGTTACATAGTTACATAGTATTTGGGGTTGAATAAAGACATACGTCCATCAAGTCCAACCCATATAGGTCCACGCATCATCTCATTCTTAGGAATACTTGTATCCCTGAATATTACGGTCCCTCAGGAAATCGTCCAAAAGTTTCTTGAACAGTTCTACACTCTTAGCTGAAATCACTGCCGGTGGCAGTAAGTTCCAGACCCTAACCGCTCTTACTGTTAAGAACCCCCTTCGCCCCTTGTGCTTGAATTTGTTTTCCACCAACTTTAGGTGGTGACCTCTAGTCTTTGTAATGGAGTTAATCTTAAAGAGTTAGTTGCCAATGTTGCTGTCACCATTGAACATCTTGTACATGAAAATCATGTCCCCCCTTAATCTCCTTACTTCCAGCGTGAACATGTTTAAGTTCAGTAGCCTTGTCTCATAGCTCTGGTCCTCCATTCCCCTAATTAGTTTGGTTGCCCTCCGCTGGACTCTCTCCAGTTCAAGGACATCCCTTCTCATTACCGGCCACCAAAACTGGACCGCGTACTCCAGGTGTGGCCAAACCAATGATCTATATAGTGGCACAATTATAGACGTGTCTCTGCAATACATCCCTTTCTTAATACAATACAAGACAAGACCCTGCTAGCTTTGTTTACCACAGCCTGGCACTGCAAGCTACCATTCAGTTTGTGGTCTACAATGACCCCCAAATCTTTTTCTATTTCTGACTTCCCTAGCGGCATACCCATGATGGTATAGCCCATTTGTTTATTTTTATGTCCAAAGTACATTACTTTGCATTTATC